AGACTGTTCTAGGTCCACTGCTGTTCTACAGAGATTTAAGAATCAGCTCATCGATTTATATATATATATATACATATATATATATATATATGTATACACACACACACACACACACACACACACACACACACAAAAATAACCTGCTGGGGTTTGGATTGAGATTGTATTGGATCTATATTGAATCTGTATATTGGGAATATGACGTCTTAACGATACTCAATCTCTTGGCCCATGAACAAGGTATCTATTATTATTTAGGTCTTCTTTATCACAGCAATATTTTGTAGTTCTCACTGTACAGGCTTTTCACATTTTTTTGTCAGATTTATTTCTAAGTACATTTTTTTAAGCTATTGTAAGTGTGGATTTTTAATTTCCATTTCTAATTGTTGCTACATATACAAACATGATTTTTGTATGTTGCTTTATATCTTGCAACTTTGATAAAGTCACTTTTTAGTTCTAATAGATGCTTGTAGACTCCATTGTACATTTTTTTTCCATTGTATATTTTCTACATGCCTGAAGATCATGTCATCTGTGAATAATGGCAATTTTATTTTTTCTTTCCAACCTGGATGTCCTTTCTTTTTTGCCCAGTTGTGCAGTTTAGAATTTCCTATACAACATTGGATACAGACATCACTACTTGTTCCTGATGTTAGGGGCAAAGTAAGCAATCTTTTACAACTAAGTATGATATTAACTCTAGGGTTTTTATAGATGCCCTTTATCAAGTTGGGGAAGTTCCCTTTATTCCTAGTTTGCCTGAGATTTTCTCAGCAATAGAGGGTCAGTTTTGTCAGATGATTTTTCTATACTGAGATGATTATGTGAATGCTAAATCAAGCCTGCATTCCCAGGATAAATCCCATGACCACAATACATTATCTTTTTATTATATCATAGGATTCAATTTAGTAAACTTTTCCTTAGAATTGTTGTACCTGTATTTATGTGGAATATTGCCTTGTAGCTTTTCTTGTAATAGGTTTGTCTGGCTAGGGTACCAGGATAATTTTGGTCCCAGAGTTATGATGGCCTCACAGAATGAACTGGAAACTATTGCCACTTTGATTTTTTAGAAGTTTGTGTAGAATTGGTATTATCTCTTCTGAAGTTTTTGGTTAAACTCACCCCTAAAGCCACCTGGGCCTGGATTTTTGTTATAATTAGGTTTTAAAACTGCAATTTCAATTTTAAAAAATATTTTGAGATAGATTTTATTAGAGATAGAAAGCAAGAGAGAGCGTACATGCATGTGTGCAAGCCCGCACAAACAGGGGGGAGGGGCCGAAAGAGAGGGAGAAACAGACTCCCCGCTGAGCAGGGAGCTCAACGTGGGCCTCAATTGCCAGTAGCCTGCAATCATGACCTGAGCCAAAAGGAGACAATCAGTTGAGTCACCCAGGTGCCCCTTCAATTTCTTTTGTAGGGCTGTTCAGGTTATCTTTTTAGTGAGCTGTGGTAATTTTTACCTTTCAAGGAATTTGTCGATTTCATCAATGATGTTGCATTTATTGGCATAAAGGTGCTCCTAATAGTCCTTTTATCTGTAGTGATGTTACTTCTCTCTCTCTCTCTCTCTCTCTCTCTATATATATATATATAATCATTCCTTAATCATTTGTCTTTCTTTTTTCCCTCACCAATCTGGCTGGAGACTTAACAATTTTATTGGTCTTTTTCCCCACCAAAGAATAAGCTTTTGGATTCACTGATGGCTCTCTTTGTTTTTGTTTTTGATTGTCTCTGATCTTTATTATTCCTCTTCAAGCTCTGCTTACCTTGTACTTAATTTGCTCTTCTTTTTCTAGTTTCTTAAACTGGAAACTCAGGTTACTGATTTGAGACCTTCCTTCCTAATATAGTTATTTACTACGAGTTTCCCTCTCAGTACTGCTTTAGTGGCAACCCATTTTTCTTATTCACTTCAAATTACTTTCTACTTTCTCTTTAGATTTCTTTGACTTGTTTCCAAATATTTAAGGATTGCCAAGGATCTGTTACTGATTTTTTTTTAAAGAATTTATTTATTTATTTGACAGACAGAGATCACAAGTAGGCAGAGAGGCAGGCAGAGAGAGAGGAAGGGAAGCAGGCTCCCCGCTGAGCAGAGAGCCCTACGCGAGGCTCGATCCCAGGACCCTGGGACCACGACCCAAGCCGAAGGCAGAGGCTCAACCCACTGAGCCACCCAGGCGCCCCTCTGTTACTGATTTCTAACATAATTCCTCTGTGGTCAAAGAACACACTTGGTATGATGAATACCTCCAAATTTGAGATTTTTAAATGAGCCACAGTGTGGTCTATCATCATAAATATTCCACATGCACTCTCGTGTATTTTGAAATTTCTTAATGAGCCACAGTGTGGTCTATCATCATAAATATTCCACATGCACTCTTCGTGTTCTGCTGTGGTAGGGTGGAATGTTCTAGAAATACTAACCAGGTCAAACTGGCTGTTACCACTGTTCAAACAGACTATTTTTGTTCTGCCAACTCTCTCCCTCAGTTTTAGAAAGTAGATACTAAAATTTGTCCATTTTTTCCTTGCAGTGTGATCAGATTTGCTATCATTTAGGGCTGCTGTCAGGTACATTCATTAACTGACCCTGTATCAGTATGACATAAGCCCTAATCCCTGTTAGTATTTTTTGCTCTAAAATCTATTTTGTTATTAATATACCCATTCCAGCTTTCTTTTTACTAGTGGTAGCATGAGGTATCCTTTTCTATCCTTTTGCTTTTAACCTACTTGTATCTTTAAAGTACCTTTCTTGAAGGCAGTGTTTTTTTAAATCCAATCTGATAATAGCTGCCTTTTAATTGGAGCATTTAGACTATTCACATTAATATTATTAATATTATTAATAGGACTATTGATATGGTTAGGTTTGAGTCTACCATCTTGCTATTTTCCATTCATCCCAATTGTCCTCTCCTCTCTTCACCTCTTTTCCTGTCATTTTTCAAATTAATCGATTTTTTATTACATTTTATCTCATTAGTTTCACAACTATAATTTTTAGGTTATTTTAGTGGTTGCTTTAGGGTTTATAGTATACATTTGTAACTTATCACAGTCTACATTTAAATGATAGTATCTCATTTCAGGTACAGTACAAGAATCTTACAAAAAGTACACTTATAGTGTACTTCTTCCCTTCTATTAAGCTATTCTTGTCATCCATTTTGCTTTTACATACATTATAAAGTTAACACCACTTTTCTGTAATTTTTTTAAGCAATTACCTTTAAAGAGGTTTAAATAATAATAAATCATACATTTACCCATACTGTTACACGCTCCTCATCCCTTTGTGTAGATCTAGATTTCCATCTGGTAGCATTTTCCTTCTGCCTGAAGAACACCCTCTAATTTTTTTCATAATGCGTATCTTCTGGTGATAAAGTCTTTTCCAAGTCTGAGAACATTTTTATTTCTTCTTATTCTTTTCTCCGTGGTACCCAGAGTCTGTTAGTTATGTTAGTCAATGCACTGAACTTTCAATTATGGTGTTCCTTATTCCTAGATTTCCACTGGGTACTTTTCTCAATCTGCTTGGCTGTTTTTACAATCATGCTCTTTTAGATCCCTTATTTCTTTACACTTGATCTTAGCCAAAAGGCCGAGAAGTGGTTCTCCCTTATTTCTTTAAATATAAAACATACTTTATACTATGTCTGGTAAGTCTTAATAGCTTAACTCTTTGTAGGCCTGCTTCTCCCATCATCGTTTCTGCTGGCTCTTGTCTATCTATTTATGTGTTTGTGATTTCGGATTGTGAACTTATATTCCTTGAAACTATTTCTGAGTTCCTCCAAAGACAGTACATTTTGCTTCTGTTAGTCACCTGGAGGGCAATAAAAATCTGGTATCACTTTAAATTTCTGGTGTGAGACTTTTCTTACACTACCTAGATTCAAACAAGCCAGCTTCAGGGGTGCTTGTGGCAAAATACACATATACACTCAGGGTACATGGAGATGTATTCTCTCAGGATAGGTGATCTTCCCTGCTATCTAGGGGGAGTAAGGGGAGGACAAGGGGATACTGGAGAGGGAGGAGGCAGGCAGATGTATTCATAGTTTACTCTTAGAGTAAGTCTATCTTTTTGGGTCTCAGCGTCAGGAGATCTATTACCCCTCCCTCCCTGAGCAGGCCCTAAGCTTTGTCTGCTATGCTACTGCCCCTTTCCCAACCCAGATGATGAAAAACAAAGTTTAACTAGGTATTTGGCAAACGTCCTAAGGGTAAAAAGTGGCCCCAGTGTCCTAATTACCTCATTGTACTTCCACTTCCACTTAAAATTTTTTGAGACTTATTATGTAGCTCACTGATCCATTTTAAAAAATGGCTCTTGATATGTATCCCAGAAGTTTTAGTTGTCCTCAGCTGGTCCTTATCAGCCATAGTGATGGGGGAAAAAGTCTTTTAACTTGTTCTTTGTAGTATACAGTATCCAAAAACCCCTCTCTTGATCCAGAGGCAAGAGAACACATACTTAGGAACCAGCCGGCCCAAGGTCAGGTCTCAGACTCACAAGCACTATGACCTTGGTAGCTCATTTATACTCTGTGCTGTTGATGCAAGAAATAAAGGAGGTAATATCAGTACTTAAAGCAGGGCTGGCTCTGAGAAGTATGCTATAAGGACTTATTATTATTATGTGAACAAGTTGTAATCACACACCTGAGTAACAGCACACATCTTATCCAATGGTCCAAGAGCATCTGTTCCCTGGCTATCCTAGTCCACTCTACCATGCAGTAACCCCACACCTCTGTACTTACACCAACAATGACCAGGAGTAATCAACTATGGGCTACTCACTGGATGTCAGTCCCAGCTACACTCACAGGATGGGCCCTAAGTCAAGAGCAGAATGTTAATGAATGCTGATCTAAGAAATGCCATCATCATACAAACCTGAGTGAACACACAGTCCTTTACCCTTAACAAAATCTGAAAGGAAGCACGAACATAAACAAACATGATTTTAAGTTTTGTATTTTCACGGTGGACAGTCATCATTCGCCCCAACAGCCATCTGAAGCCAATAGTCCTGATTGTTAAAAATCACAAAGTTGTATAAATGTTCTCCTCCTTTTCGAAAACCATGTTCATTTTCTCTCCACGAAACAGGACTGTCTGCAAAGCCTTGTACTGACAATGTAACCCAAGGAGCTAACTTGGGCTCATCAAAGTAGTGACTGAAAAAGAAAGATAACTCTTAACAAACAGGAAGGGCTAGGAATGTTCACATTTTTTTTTTAACTTATTCAGGATAAGTGATACTTCTGATGTTCCAATGAAGCTTAGACCTTAGTTTTTATTTAGAAGAATTAAGAGATACAAACTACATTCCTGATCCTATGTGGTGTATTCAGTAAATGTTCACCAATTACAGAATGCACAAAACCAACTTTAGAGGTTCCTATGCTCACTGCAGAATACCACATAAGATTCAAAGAGAAAAAAAACAAAACAAAACCACAAAGTGTATAGGAATAGTTTCCTGCCATTTAATAGGGCTCTTCAGTCTCTGTTAACTTAAACAATGCAGAATAATTTATTGAATTTAAAAAAATCTTTTATTATTAAGGAAAATAAAAGTATTAAACTATTAAATGAAAAAGGGTATTAGGATTAAGAAAGAAAACCCTCAAGATTTTAAAAAGTGAAGACTGATAGGTGCCTGGGTGGCTCAGGGGGGCTTATTTAAAAAAAAAAAAAAAAAAGTGAAGACTGAGAAGGCATTACGTATGCTACATGGGCTTTTCAATATGGGATCTGAGTTTCCTGACGTTAGATAAAATGTAGCATTTATATAGTACCTTCTCAAATGAAAAAACCCATACTGCCTTGTCCAATCCCTGGCACGTTAATGACGTCCAGCACTTCACAGGATGTTGGTGCCGGAACAGATCTTACACATGATCTGGATTCAAAAATGGTCAAGTGTTTTCAAAATAAAACATCTGCAGAACTCTTAACATTTAAAACAGATCATAATGTGTTCCATAGAGTACTGCTGTTTTCTTAAGTGATGTTATAACTTCCAGAGCATGACAAGAAAAATGAATAGCCTGTTTTTCAAGCAGCTGAGCTAAACTCTGCTCTCTGTCTTTTCGTAAGGACAAGTACTTGGCAGCGGCATTTTCCTATCTCCAAGGATAATTACATCATTTAAGATGATAATGTTACCACACTGTGAGCCCAAGCAAGGAAAAAGGGGGTACGTGAGAGAACACTGCGATTTGGACCAGTAGCACCGCCCCTAAAATGTCATGTGGGCACAGACAACCAAGATATAAAAGGCAAAAAGCATTCTCACCGCAACTGTTCCAAAAGGAGACAGATCTTCTCTGGAAGTATGAAACCCGTGATTGTACACAAATAAGCTTTGGCCACCACTGTGCTTGGCTGAGGACAGCAATAGGTGGATATGAAGTTATGAGGCTCGTTATTTCTGTCACACACACACAACGAAAAAAAAAGAAAATACATTTACTTCTGCTGTATGATTCATTTTCAAAGTATAAGCCGCTGTGAAGAACAAGAAGCCAGCCAGAGCCCGAGCCCGCCACCCAGGAGCCGCTACGCACAGTTCTGTGTGACTGAAGACGGCACCCAGCCAGTCCAGAAGCTCGGGAGCGCTGCAGGCCGCCTCTGGCTCCCCCTGGAGTGCGCTGCTCCGCAGGACGGGGCACTGCAGCTCTGTCACTGTGCTCAGGGCTATTTCTGGCTGATGCTCCTGAATTCGGTAATTGGAAAAGTGTGACATCACCGTGGATTCTTCTGCACCTTAAAACACACCATACAAGGTCATCTGCATCCTGAAAGCAAGTTCAGTGAATCCCTGAAACCGCCACATTCCTCACTGAGAGTTCCAGGGAGCAGGTGAGATTAAGTAACACAGAAGGGAGTTGCGCAAAGCTGTATTCAAATTAAAATAATTTAAGTTGCTTTGGGCTCCTTGTGCCAAAGTTCTGTAAACATTCATTTCCTTTCCCTTTTCCTGGAAAAGCATAATCCTTTCAGATTCAACCCCATATTAGTTTCAGCATTTGCTCTAATAAGAAAATTCTGACTTACTGAATAAAAAAAGCGCTTCTTGTGGCTAAATAAAATTAGTGAACTCTATAGACAGAGGAGTTTATTTGCATAATCTCTGTAAAGTTCCACAAGAGGAACTGAAAGAATCTCATTTAAGCTTATCTTTGAAAACCCAGTAATATCCAACTTATCTTCAAGGATTTTTCCAACAGCCTTGGAAGACAGAAATAGTGGCCCCTTAGGAGCAAAAGGCAGGCTTGCTTCATGTCCAGTGTAAGAGAAATAATCTGCTCTCCCCACCCTCCACCCCAGAGCAAAGGCCAGCAGGCTTACTGGCCAGGATAAAAGACTGGAGTTCCTGCAGTTCGAGATTCCTCTCCTATAACACAGCCCACAGCATGTGTGGTATCCCCTGGCCCACTGTGTCACCCTGTGGGTAGTGGAACCTAGTGCGTTAGTGTCAGTGGAGACTCTGGCCAGGGCCACTACTGTGAGTAATTAAATCTCAAGTCTTGTGCCTTCTGCCAGCATCCATGAGACCTTGCAGGCTAACTACTTAGCTTACAAGTGAGGAAAATCTCGGACTTTCCCCAGTTTTTGACAAGCCCTTAGAATAATTGGTGCTTTAGGAACACAGAGCTCTCCAGAACTGAAAGCACATATGGTCCTCAATGAAGACTTTGTGCAACTGCAATGTCCATCAGTCGGTCCTGTATCTCTACCCTAAGGAGGAGACAGACGCCCTGAAGCATTACAGACTGAGGACTCAGGCGAGCGGCCTGGAGCACCCAGTGACCAGAAACGTCCCACGAAGAGCGGATGGATAGGCATATTTCCCAAACTGACCTACGTGCCTTCCTGTCCTCCAAAACCGAGTACGACACCATCACAACTATGATGCTCTAACTCCTTACAATCTTGTGATGGACCAAAGCTACACTCTAAAAGGAGCAAGGCACATGGCAGTTGTCAGCACGTCACCACATCTGGTGACCAAACACCCCACTAAATTTCATGTTCGAATCAATTCCAAGTGACAACAAATTTCATTTGACATTTAATGGTATGCCTGACTTTGACCCTAAAATAATCAACAGTTTGTGTTTATAATTTGTGCTATTTTAAAACATACCACCAAGGCTGTTTGAGGTAAGGTGCAGGAAGGGAGGGGAGAAACAGTAAAAAAGTTAGCTGCATCAACACATAACCCAGGGAGATGGAGGAAGATGGCTGCCTGCCTAGATCATCCCGAGCTACGGCTCCCGGGGATGCCAGAGGGCCAGAAGCAGCTTCCCGAATAATATTTACGCACATATGTACCCAATATCCTTGACCACAGGGATGAATCACAATTCAATTCTCCATTATTCCCCTTTAATTAACAATTAGATTTCCAAATCACTGTTTTGTCCCATATTTTTCCATACCTGTATGATGCCAAGCCAAAAGAAAATCAAATTTCAATGGCTTCTTTTCTTTGAAGGACCAAGATATTCTTTCATACTTCTTAGAATTCAGGTTAAAGGATAAATCCATCAAATCAATGGAAACAACTTAAAAAAAGGAAAGAGGAATAAACAGTTCATTCATATATACACAGCCTACACTGTGGAAAAAAGTGCTGTAATCAAAAGCATCCGAATTTTTGGAAATTTTATGAATAGCAAAAATTATTTTGTTCTTGTAGTCCTTTGGTTTACCAAATCAAAACACTGCCTCTCCCAGACATTTCTAGCATTGACAGTCACAATAGCTGTTTTAAGTTCATACTTTTCTGAGGTCAAAGCCCAAGGGCAGAGGTCCCTGGGAGGTCAACCCTAATCTACCTATGGTTGTGACAGCTTCAGTCGCTCATGTTCAAGCTGAACACCATCAGCAGAACCGTAGCTCTTCACTCACGGGGGTATCTCTACTAGTAATCATAAAAACTTGACAAAAGTAAATTCTTTTTTTTTTTTTTTTTTTTTTTTTTTTAAAGATTTTATTTATTTATTTGACAGAGAGAAATCACAAGTAGGCAGAGAGGCAGGCAGAGAGAGGAGGAAGCAGGCTCCCTGTTGAGCAGAAAGCCCGATGTGGGGCTTGAACCCAGGACCTGGGATCATGACCTGAGCCGAAGGCAGCGGCTTAACCCACTGAGCCACCCAGGCGCCCCGACAAAAGTAAATTCTTTATTAAGAATAAGCTGTAGACTCTTATCTTGGGTTCATTACTTTGATTTTTAACCCCCAAAATATATGAATTTAATGGACCATTCCAATTCTGATCCTTATTAGAGGCAGCCCACAGCCAAAGAGAAACAGAAGAGCGATCTTATTCCTTCCAAAGCTCAATCGAGAGCCCCACGGGGCAGAAGTTCTAAAGACAAGAAAAGGCCATATTCCTTCTGAACAAAGAGAAGAGTGGCAATTCAAACATTTAAACTTAAATTGCTACAGGAAGATTACTGACTTATTGGAAACTGATAGGAGCATAATACTTACTAAATTTCATTACTTTTCTGCCAGAATACTTAGATGGACGACCTTGAAGACCAGTTTCTTCATAAGTATCTTTATCCAGTGATAAAATTAATTTCCCTGTAAATCAAATAATCCTCATAAAAGAGATAATAAAATATGACATGTTCTCTTACTAAAAGAAAGCACAGCCAATCGAGCAGTTAAATATGAGGATAATAAACTGCACACAAGAATTGTCTTTATGATACAAGGAGATTACTTATACATACAACCTATTTATGTACAAGGATATTTTTAACATATTATACATACAAGGATATTATTTATGACAGTGAAAACAGAAATTATCTAAATTTTTATTAAAGAACAAATAGTTAAACAAACCATGGTATACCTCTTCACTAGAATAGCTTCAAAATATTAAAAAAAGTCAGTCAGAACTATTTGCCCTGATACGGAAAGATGTCTGTGACATATTAAGAAAACAGAAAATTGAGAAACGATGTAGTACAATGTGATTTACGTTTAAAAAAAAAAAAAAAAAAAAAAAAAAAAAAAGCAAAACTCAGAGGCACCTGGGTGGCTCAGTGGGTTAAGCCTCTGCCTTCGGCTCAGGTCATGATCCCAGGGTCCTGGGATCGAGCCGGGCATCAGGCTCTCTGCTCAGCAGGGAGCCTGCTGTCCCCCTACTCCCTGCCTGCCTCTCTGCCTACTTGTGATCTCTCTCTCTGTCAAATAAATAAAATCTTTGAAAAAAAAACCCAAAAACAAGATTTATGTGTGTTTATAAATTTATAGAAAATGTCAAGAAAAATAAAAACCCACCTGTTAAAAACAGTTCATTCTAAGAAGGGGTGTGAGTGAATCATCTGGAGATTTGACTTTTTAAATTTTTTTTTTTTAACAGTATTTCTTTTAAAATTAAAGAAAGAAAAAATGAGTGTTGTTACCGTTTGGCAGGAGGGCAACAGTATTATCTTCATCGATATTTGTATTGTATGTTAGTGCATAGAACGAACCTGTAAGAGAAAGCCCAAACAAGAAATTAAGAAACAAAAAAATAAATCATACCTGCAAAAAGTTAGTGGATTCTCTTCACACGATAACGTATCTTCCAGGTGAGTAAGGGTCAATATTCACCACGGCTCCAGCTCCCTCAATAAACCTAAAACCTGGGGCGTCTGGGTGGCTCAGATGGTTAAGCGCCTGCCTTTGGCTCAGGTCGTGATCCCAGGGTCCTGGGATCGAGCTCCATGTCAGGCTCTCTGCTCAGTGGAGAGAGAGAGTCTGCTTCTCCCTCTCCCTGCTCGTGTTCTCTCTCTCAAATGAATAAATAACATCTACAAATAAATAAATAACCCTAAAACCTGCCAAGGCTGAGCTGGAGGACCCAGAGGCCACCCTCCAGCTAGTTCACACCACCACCCAGGGCCTATTTGTGCCAGGTGACTACCATCAAGCAGGAAATGGACTCAGGGTGCAGTGTGTGTCTCTGGCGGTGCTAGCAGAGAGGCACAAAGTAGAATACTGGGTGAGTGCACGTGCCCGAGAGGAAGAGTTCCAGGTAAAGATTCAAAATGTGCCATGACCTCGTGTGAGGTTAGGAAAGCCACTCAGTCTCTGTGAACCTCAGTTTTCCTCATCTGTAAAATGGGGATCACGGGCCTAACTCACAGAGCTGTTGCAAGAGTTCAACTGGTTAAGACATGTAAAAGGGTTCCTAACAGCCAGAGGCCGCATTATTAACAAAGTAGCACCCAACTTCAAAACAGATGAAAGGAATGAAGTTGACGGGACCAAAGACAACACGGCCAGCTGCACCCAAAAGAGAGGGACTGCAAGTAACTGGATTGTTCACAGCTCCCTGCAGAAGACGAACGTGGGGCCTACATCAAGAGAAGGGGTGTGCTTACTTTTAAGTTTAGTGACTTATGTAGTGAAGGGGGAAATCCCTAAAGACAGTCTAAAATACAGTTTCAAACAAGTTCTCCCTAGGAAACAAGAGGAACAAAGCAACCAACCCAGCAGATACGAATGGAAATGGGGTGAGCAGAGAGCGTCAGAGCCACAAACGAAGCAGAAGACAGGGCACCATAATGAGCACACCGCCTCATGACCAGCTGCTATGAGAGCATCAGGAGATGAACCCTTCCAGACGGCTGAGTGGGGACTGCTGGAAACACAGCGGTCTTGTGGCCACGCACCCGACAGCCGTGTATGCGAACACACAGCTCCCAAGGCTCTCTCTCCTCTCCCTGAATCCTTGTTTTAAGATGAGGGATACCTTTAAGTTACAACCTCCCTGAGCCACACTCATGGGCAAGTGTCATCAGAAAGCACCACCTAAAGAGAGCATGAGAGAAAGTACGGGGAGGAGACTGAGGGAGGGGGAATGATGCCTACACTTGACCACACAGACTATCTCTATGGAGCCCTACTTGGAGCCCTAGGATCGTGATGTGATCTGACTATACTTCTTCCTCACCTTACCACATTCATAGACACGACAAGGTTTTTCTTACCTTTCTTCACAAAGGAGTGGATGAAGTCGTGTGTAATTAACTCATGAAGAGGTAAGTTCTTCACAAAGTAATAAGGTCCAGTCTCCATGACTAGGTTTTTCAGTTCTTTTGACAGTATCCCACATTCAGGAATCAGAAATGAAACCTATTGGAATGTGTAACATAAACCAGTCTTATTTTCATGTAGATCAGCCTCCAGCTTTTAAGGATGCTATAACATATGAAGGTTGCAAAGTTTCCCCCACAGGTTTCTATAAAACTTTTTTAAGATTTTATTTCTTTATTTGACAGAGATCACAAGCAGGCAGAGGCAGGCAGAGAGTGAGAGACGGAAGCAGACTCCCTGCTGAGCAGAGAGCCCGACAGGGGGGTTGATCCCAGGACCCTGAGCTCATGACCTGAGCTGAAGGCAGAGGCTTTAACCCACTGAGCCACCCAGGCGCCCCTCTATAAGACTTTTAAGTTAATTTACCAGTCTCAGGAAAAGAGAAATTTGACAATTCACGTTTTTCATTTCTGTATTCAAACATTATAGGAAAGCTAAAGAAGCAAAAAATTAAAAAATTTAAAAATAATTAAAAAATTAATGGAAAGCTCTTGTTTGCATTTCACCTTTTGCAAATAAACCATATGTTTTATATCCTGTCCACTGCTCTAAAATTGATTTTTAGGGAAATATGGTACAATGGAATGAATATCCTCAGATTTAACCTGGTACCAGGCTGAAATCAAAGGGACTGTCCCTTAGGGCATAAGGAAATCAGAGACAGCAAGAGGCTCCTCAGACGCAGAAGTGGTCGGGGCTGTTTCTATTTTCTAGACAGAAAAATTCTACAGATCAGCCTGGGCAAGATAAGATATACACCCCGACTGCCGCCTGGGATGAGCTTTCCACCTAAAGCAAAGATGTTAAACCTAAACGGTTTCCAGTGTTATCACGTGCTCCCCACCTTGAAAAGCACTCTCCGGAAGCTCACACACCAGTCTGTTCCTGAGGGACCCGCGTCACCACCTGCGTCTCTGAGAAACTGCCACGCCAGTCAGGCCTGGGTGGAGGGAGATGAGGCTGATGAATCTCAAGTGTAAGAGGCTTAAACCGTTTCAGGTTGAGTTTTCAGAGACCTCGCCACTTCAGTGGGTCGGTGAAACCGAGCCATAGGACACTTGACTGGCATCTGGTTATTCTCCTCTTCTCTTGCTGGATGCTAGATAATTAACCTCACTGACGCCTCAGCTTACACCAAGCGCCCCCACGAGGATGCCATTTTCACGAAGCACCAGCCGACGTCAGCTCCCGGTAAAGCTCTGAAGTTGCGCTTGCAGGCAGGGCCACCGCCGCGCATTTCTACGCAAAGCTGCCGAGCTGGCGCGCTTTGGTTGGGAACCACAGAAGACAGCAGGCGAAGTGGAAACTTTGCCAGCCCTAAACCTAGCTCCCCTAAATAGTTTAGGAAAGCACGTGCTTCCTGGGTCTCTACTGGCAAGACGCTCCCACGAGGAGAGAGAATCAAGACGTGGGGAGGGGCGCCGAGTCCGGCCCCGATTTTCCGCCGACCCACGGGTCCACGTCGCACCCATCACTCGCTTTATAACTCCCCAGGTTCGGCCCCCACTTTCACTTTCCACCCGGAAAAGCGCTCCACCAGCGGCAGGATCAAAGTAACAGCAGCGGTTTGGTACCCGCCGGAGGTACGCCGCCCAGCCCCTCCCCACAGAGGAGAGGACCTGCCCCCGCCCCCGGCGAATCCTGGGAGTTGTAGTCCTGCAGATCCGCAAGCGACCAGCTCGGAGCAGTGAAGAGATTACAATTCCCAATATTCCTGGCGAGGAGCCCCGCCCCACTGCGCGGGGAGGGCGGGCCCGCCGCTCAGCCGAGCGGGACCTTCCCCAAACCTCTCCAGCTTCCGGAAATGAAGCGATGCATGAGAGGCCCACGGAGGCCGAACTCACCCTGTAGTTGTGATAGTGCGTCTCCACAAGATGCCGGTGGCGCGACTTGTCATGGCCGAAGTTGGATTTCTCGCAGACCAGCAAATGCCGGGGGACTTGTCGCAGTCGGCGCAGAGTGGCCATGCTCTCTCCCTGGCTCCGGCTCTGGGCGAGCTGGGTGCACTCCGCCCCGCCCTTCGTCCCGCCCCGCGAGCATGCGCAGTGCGGCCGCGCCGAGCAGGTTGAGGTGGCCCGGGCTCCTGTTCTGGCCAGAGGTGAGGCGAGCCCTTGGTTTAGAAGCCTTAGCAGAAGCCTGCCATCGGTACCTGAAACCGCATATTCATTACCTAAAATGGAAATACCTGGCACCTGCAAACCTGGAACTTGCCTTTTCAAACCCATCTTTCTCGCCTTGCCCTCCCTTGCTGCCGTCTCTTGCCGAAAATCCTTCTTTTGGTCCTTCCGAAAAAATTAAGGAACTCTGTGCAGGAAGAGAATACACAGTTTCTGTTGTCTGCCCTACAAGGACCAAGGCTCCTTCGGAACCACTTTAAGATTCCTTCTTAAAAGTCCCATCCGAACGGTTACGGGGGGTTGCAGTGAGAATTCATTTTTCCATAATTTTTCTGATCAGGGACTGCGTTAGTGCGTGCATCTCAAACTGGAGTGTGCACAGACCCAGTTCTGGGCAGCATGGATGCAAAACAGCAGACTGTAGCACAACTTTCTGGAACACCAATTTTACTATAAGATTTGAAATAACCAAAGTTAAGTAATTTATAAGGTAAGCATTTAAGAATTTTAAACTGAGACAAGGCTGGGAAGTTCTGCCAGGTAATGTCAGTCACCTGTGCCTGAAATGTCAGCCGTTCTCTGAGAAAACTAAGAAAAACATATTTCCCGTTATTTTAAATGGGAAAAATTATAAGAAGTAGGTCAACTGAAAATTTCTGCCAATTTTCTAAATCACAGTATGGCATCTAGATATGTTACAGCTGTCATATTAGGATATAAAATGCTTAAAACATTACTCCTTGGTAACCTCAACCTGAAGTAGCAGTGGCCTCTCTTAGATGATCATCAGATGTGTACACCTTTGCTGATATTCCAAATTTTGGAAAGTGACTGGTGTGATTTTATGGCTTACCGATTGCATTTGGAACCAATGTGAAGGTTTTCTTGCAAGCCATTTCGTTTAAAGTGTTTTATTAAGGGGGCACCTGGGTGGCTCAGTGGGTTGAGCCTCTGCCTTCGGCTCAGGTCATGATCACAGGGTCCTGGGATCGAGTCCCGCATCTGGCTCTCTGCTCAGCAGGGAGCCTGCTTCCCTCCTCCCTCTCTCTCTCTCTCTCTCTCTCTCTCTCTCTGCCTGCCTCTCTGCCTATTTGTGGTCTCTCTCTGTCAAATAAATAAATAAGATCTTTAAAAAAATGTTTTATTAAATAGTTTTGAAAACTCAATATAAATTATATCAGCTGAAAACACACAGGTGACCAGCCACTATGCAGTTTGGGCATTCCTAACTGAAGTGTCTTCAAGGGAGAACAGTACTTGAGGATATGTTCTGGGGTCGGGTGTGCCTGTATTATGAAACAGAAGGCAAAAATCTCGTTTATTTTAAAGACTAAAGCTGTAGCTTCAAGTAAATTTGGGACTTAAGACCTTTCAGCCTACCCCCACGGTGTTTTGGAGTTCTGTCTGTAATGAATCATTGATTTCTCCTTGCCTGCTGGGTCATTTCTATCAGTATACACACATGCCTTAATGTTGTGCATTAAGCAGAACACCTCTTTTGTCCCTGAATTCCTCTTCATTCTCATCATTGTGTTTCTCTGCTCGATTAGAGCCTCCTCTCTGCATTGTCTCCTGAGCCCATTCTGTTCTAGCTTTCCTCTGCACTATTTAACTGACTTGGCTTTTACCAAGGTACCAATGATTTCCATTTTTGCCAAATTCAAGGCCAAGTTTCTGTTCTTATCTCTGTCTTTTAGATGCACTTGATACAGATGATACAGTTGAACACTTCTTCCTTTGTATTAACTATATCTTCTTTTTTTCTGTGTTCTTATACTCCAGTGCTCTGGCATCTGGGGCCTCACTGACCAGGGTGGGACTACCCCTTCCAGGGTTAGCTAATTCCTAAAGATAGCAAATAACTTGGGCAGTGAGCATGCCTTTCATTCGCAAACCAACTAATCTGGAGTTGACACCCTGAAATACCTCTTCTGTGAATTGTCACCCTCTTCCCCTGTCCTAATAACCCTAGGGCCGGGTACTAGATAACTGGGGATAGTCTACATTCCAAAGCCCACAGAAATTCTTCAAACCAGCCAATTCTAAACGTACCTCGTCTGTTCACCCTGCCTCACCCATCCCTTCCCATAATAAAAGCTCTGAGGGATACTCTCCCCTCACTCCCCCTGCCTCCTGACCAACCCAGATGCACTTGGCTTCCTGTGGTCACTCTGCGTGGCCTGCCATTCCTCCCGATTGTAGGGAACTGTAAGTAAAAACTTCATCCTTTAGGACAGTCATTTGCCATACCTGCTAGAACAAATCCCTGGGTACGTGTGAAAACGTTCCTTGAAACACTTACCTCTGGAGTTTTGAGAACCTCCCTGCTGCTGGGCTCCCTCCCGTCTGACTCTACCTTCCTCCCCCTCCTCTAGATCTCTGGTGATCCTTACCCTCCACCCGTCTCTTTCCTGCCCTCTCCTCTCAGAGTGATCCCAGGTGGTCTCACGGCTTTCAGTGCCATCTGTCTCCTGAGAGCCATGAGGCTTGGGTGCTCATCTGTGGGGTGGAGGGAGGGGGGCACCCAGGCGCCATTCCTGACTCTTCTTCCCATCTCACCCCATATGTGATCCCACAAGGTCTGTGGCTTGTTGGTTCTGCCTGCAGCAGGCATCGTGATTACAAACTCTTCTGGCTGCATTTCCAGTTCCAGCCACCTTCCCCTCTCCTCTCTCAGTCCGCTGCCAACCACAGGCTCCTACCCACCTCCCTGCTTCCCTCCTGCAGCCTCTTCACTCAGCATCCAGGCTGACTTCCCAAAAACTTGGAAAATGTGATACAGACATAGTTCATTTTGTTGCACTTCACTTTACTGCACTTTGCAGATACTGTGTTTTTAATAAATTGAAGTTTGTGGCAACCCTGTGTCGAGGAACTCGGTGCTATTTTTCCAAGAGCATCTGCTTCTTTTCTGTAACTGTGTTGTATTTTGGTAATTTTCACAATATTTCTAACTACTTCTTTATTTGCTATGGAGCTCTGTGATCAGTGATCACAACTCTGAAAGCTCAGATGATGGTTAGCATTTTCTGGCAATAAATAATTTTTTAATCAACGTATATACTTTTTAGGCGTAATGCTATTATATACTTAATAGATTACAGTATAGTGTAAACATAACTTTTTTTTACATATTTTTTATATATTTTTTAATTAATTTTATTTTTTATAAACATATATTTTTATCCCCAGGGGTACAGGTCTGTGAATCGCCAGGTTTACACACTTCACAGCACTCACCGTAGCACATACCCTCCCCAATGTCCATAACCCCACCCTCCCTCTCCCAACCCCCCTCCCCCCATCAACCCTCAGTTTGTTTTGTGAGATTAAGAGTCACTTATGGTTTATCTCCCTCCCAATCCCATCTTGTTTCATTTACTCTTCTACTACCCCATTAACCCCCCATGTTGCATCTCCTCTCCCTCATATCAGGGAGATCATATGATAGTTGTCTTTCTCCGATTGACTTATTTCGCTAAGCATGATACCCTCTAGTTCCATCCACGTTGTCGCAAATGGCAAGATTTCATTTCTTTTGATGGCTGCATAGTATTCCATTGTGTATATATACCACATCTTCTTTATCCATTCATCTGTTGATGGACATCTAGGTTCTTTCCATAGTTTGGCTATTGTAGACATTGCTGCTATAAACATTCGGGTGCAAGTGCCCCTTCGGATCACTACGTTTGTATCTTTAGGGTAAATACCCAGCAGTGCAATTGCTGGGTCATAGGGTAGTTCTATTTTCAACTTTTTGATGAACCTCCATGCTGTTTTCCAGAGTGGTTGCACCAGCTTGCATTCCCACCAACAGTGTAGGAGGGTTCCCCTTTCTCCGCATCCTTGCCAGCATCTGTCATTTCCTGACTTGTTAATTTTAGCCATTCTGACTGGTGTGAGGTGATATCTCATTGTGGTTTTGATTTGTATTTCCCTGATGCCGAGTGATGTGGAGCACTTTTTCATGTGTCTGTTGGCCATCTGGATGTCTTCTTTGCAGAAATGTCTGTTCATGTCCTCTGCCCATTTCTTGATTGGATTATTTGTTCTTTGGGTGTTGAGTTTGCTAAGTTCTTTATAGATTTTGGACACTAGCCCTTTATCTGATATGTCATTTGCAAATATCTTCTCCCATTCTGTCAGTTGTCTTTTGGTTTTGTTCACTGTTTCCTTTGCTGTGCAAAAGCTTTTGATCTTGATAAAATCCCAGTAGTTCATTTTTGCCCTTGCTTCCCTTGCCTTTGGCGATGTTCCTAGGAAGATGTTGCTGTGGCCGAGGTCGAAGAGGTTGCTGCCTGT